ATTTTTTTTATATATATATTTTTGAAACTAAAGGTTTCTAAACCTTTATTAAGTTTTCAATGGCTTAGAATGTTTGACTTTTCTCTGAGTCTCAGTTACGGTGCATCTAAAGTTTATACATTTAAGAGTTTAAAACAAATCAAAATCTAGAAAAAAGATTAAAGTAATAAGTCTCAGTAACGGTGGTTTAAATAAAGCGTGTAATAGGTGACGAATAAGCATAAAAGTTTTTAATTCAATTTAAATTAAGTATTGAACTTTTAATACATGGTTAGAATGTTCATTTTATATGTATTTTTGAAACTAAAGTTTACTATATTACTGACGTTATTATTGAGTTTTAGTTATTAAGTTTACAATGTTGAGGTTTCTCAACCGTTATTAAGTTTACGTAAACGAAATCTAGAAAAAAGATAAATGTAATAGGCCTCAGTAAAGGTGCTTAAAAAAAGAAGCATGTAATTTCTGACAAATAAGCAAAATCATTCTTAGTTCAATTTAAATTAAATATTTAACTTTTAATACATGGTTAAATTATTTATTTTTATACTTTTTTGAAAATAAAGGTTTCTAAATCGTTTCTAAGTTTACAACGGCTGAGAAAGCCTGACTTCTCTCAGAGTCTTAATTACGGTGCATCAAAAAATTATACATTAGAGAGATTGAAATAAAACAAAATTTAAATAAAAGATCAAGTTAACAAGTCTCAGTTACGGTGCTTAAAAAAGAAGCATGTAATAACTGACAAATAAACATAATCGTTTTTAGTTCAATTTAAATAAAATATCGAGTTTTTAATAAAATTATTATGTTTATTATATATATATTTTTTTTTAAAAAAAAGGAGTCTTAACCATTATAAGGTATACAATGGGAAAGGGGAGGAAGGTTAATTTTTTGTTTGTTTGTTTGTTTTAATTAATTATTCTTTAGAAATTTTTTTTTAAGAATATTTAAAAGCAACTCAGTTTTTGTAATTCTTGGTGGTTGGCGTTGTACTTCTGTTTCTAACATTTTTAAGATAACAAAAACTTTAAGATTTAAAAAAATATATATTTATGTAGAATTCTTTGCGTGTAAAGTTCCGTTTACTTAACTTATCTGTATAATACTTTACAGGTAATTTTGCAAACTAAATTAAGATTCCAATTAAAATGTAGCAAGAATCAACAGATTAGTTTTAATAAACTTCTTCAGAAGCTCCCACACTCTTGCGGAAAGTGTGGAGTTTTCCTCCACACCTTTGTGTAGCTATCACTCCTAGACACAAGTGTGAAGTTATTTTGCACACTTTTGTAGAAATTACCTTTTTCTAAATCAACCTCTGCATAGAAGTGTGGAGTTATTTGCACAAAATTGTGCAAAGTAATTCTACACTTGTGTCTAGGAGCGATAGCTACACATTGGTATAGAGGAGAACTCCACACTTTCCGCGAGTGTGCAGTAGTTGACAAGTTTTATCATACTAAGTTTCCTTTACCAGCGTAGTTATCTTTAATAAAGTCAACAATAAGTTATCTTTTTAAAATAAAAAAAATTATATACGATTAATGCTCAGCAATTCATAAATTTGCATCAAAGAACTTAAATTCTTGTATTATTCATACAAATATAGTTTTGAAAAAAATATATATTTCTATATTTTTTCAACAGAAAAAAAGTAAGTAATATGGGTTTGAAGATTCAGAATTTTATTCTTAGCTTGTTACAAGGAAGTTTTACTTGAGAATGAGATGTCAATAAATTTACAGAAAAATAAAAAGATCTGTTAAACTCCGAAAACGATTGAAGAATGAGATATTCATTATAAGGATACAAGTAGATCATTGCCTCAAAGATTCACTCCATTTAAAACCATAATTGTTGAATAAAATACAAAAGTTTTTAAAAACTTTTTAATAAGACCAATTTTATAAAAATTTTATTTTTTCAAAAATGTTTCGATAAGATAATAAAACATTATTAGAAAAAAGTTTAAGTATGAATACAAAATTATATGAATTAATAGTTTAATTTATAAAAAGAAAAACTTGCCTTTTGTTTGAAAATCTAAAAAATCTATAACTAAACTAAAGCACATGACGGAGGTTTGTTGATTAATATTTCTATTTAATTCGTTTAGTAAGATAAATTTTTTTTTTTTAAATTCATTTAAATGATTTTCCCTTACAAACTTTTTCTTCAAGACTTATTTTAAAAATGTCTCTTTGTTTTTTTGCGTTCCAGTACTCTACAGGACATACGTCACGGGTTTTGAAGTGGAAGGGCACAATCATCAATTTCTAAAAAAGTCGTCTAAAAAAAAAAAAAAAAAAAGATCTTTGGTGGGAGGTCCTGTGCTCCCTTTCCTCTTTCTCCCGATGTCGTCAGCCCTGCTCTATAATAGATCTTTTTTTTTATTTTTTTTTTTATTTTATTTTATTTTGCTGTTTATATAAATTGCAATTTCCTTTCACCAAAAATAAAATATAATTACAAATGTACAAGTAATAAACAGTCAGGGGCTCAAAGAATATGGATGGTATGGATGGCAAAGGTAGCTCAATGGAAGCTCAAAGGTATGGATGGCAAAATACCAACCTAATCTTTTCATAGAGCCCCTACAGATCATAACAATAGTATATGGTAATATATGGTTAATAAATCAAGTAGAAAATTTAGGAAAAAAAAAAAAGAAATAGTAAAAAAGAAGATATAATGTTTAAGAATAAAAATAGAGAAAAAATCTCTATTGCACATTTTTGTTCAATTTCGTGTTGAATTAACTTTAGTACCTTTCTCGGCGCTTTCATTAATAATTTTTACTAGTAGATGGTTTAAAAGTATTATTTTTGCATAAATATTCTGTTGTTCCAAGTTAGTTATTATTCAGAGTATGCCACGTGCAGTATTAAAAAGGTGCAATATAGAATTAATGTAAGTAAATTTAATTATTAGTTATTAAAAAACAGAATGTTATTGTTTAAAATATGGTTCGAATCTTAGTTGGAATACTTTTATATTATCAAATGATTTTAATATTTAATTGAATATTTCTATTTTCCAAATTATAAATTTCTTGGTTCAAAAAATATTAACTTAATATGAGTCTCAGTTTCGGTGCATCAAAAAAAAAAAAAAATTTAAGAGATTAAAACAAAACAAAATCTAGAAGAAGTTAATACGTCTCAGTAACAGTGATTAAAAAAAAAATCAAGTGTTTTCTGACAAATAAACATAAACGTATTTTATTTACTTTAAATTAAATATTAAATTTTTAATACATTATTGAATTTTATATTTTTAGTTATTACTTGAAAATAAACGAGTCTCGACCGTAATCAAGTTTACAATAGGTTATAATATTTGAGATTTCCTTTAGGGGATTGTCCATAAATTACGTCAGGCATTTTTTGACAGATTTTGACCTCCCCCCTCCCCCTCGTCACAAAATCGTAACACTTAAGAAGCAAGTTTTGTATGAGTCGTCACAAAACTACCAACCCCCCTCCCCTTATAGCGTGACGTAATTTATGGACGACCCCTAGTCTCAGTAATGGTGCAATGAAAAAAAAAAAAGAAGAAAAAGTTTGCCTCATTTCTGAATATATGAAAAAATATATCTAAAATGCATGACGGAGGTTTTTATATTTTTATTACTTTTTAATTAGTAGTAGTAAGTTTTAAAAAAATGAAAATAATAAAGTTTGTTTAAATCATTTTCACGAAGTTTTTCTTCAAAACTAAGTTTCAAAATGTATCTGCATTTTTGCGTTCGAGCACTCAATTGAACTTTTTAAAATTTGGGTTCTTGTATTTTACCCGGCTCATTTTACCGGCACATGGTTTCGAACCTTTATCTGTATAAATTTGGCGATTACAAATGCATGTTTTCGAGTTAGCCGCGTGTAGTGCCGTTAAAGGTGCAATGTAGAATTAATGTAAGTAAATTCTTTCTTAACGCATTTATAAAATATATTATCGTTTAAACAATTTAACATATGTTCTTTTAATATTTTTCTTGAAAGTGAAGGAGTCTTAAACATTATTAACTTTACAATTGCTTACAAAGTATGATTTCCAAACGCCCTAAGTCTCAGTAACGGTGCATCAAAAAGATATTTTTAAGAGATTAAATTTTAATCTTGAAAAAGAATTAAATTTATAAGTCTCAGTAACGGTGTTTAAAAAAAGATAAAAAAATGTTGTGTCGTTTCAGAATGTGTCACGTGCAGTACCGATAAAGGTACAAATAAAAATTAAAGTTAGTAAACTTGATTAAAAATAATTTATAAAATGTATGTTATCGTTTTAACAGTGGAACATTTGTTTATATATTTTTACTGGAAGTAAAAGAGTTTCGGCATTCATTAAGTTTATAATGGCTTAAAAACTATAATTTACCTATTGCTCCGAGTCTCAGTTATGGTGCATCAAAAATTATTTTTTGTGAGAGACTCTCTTTTAATCTTTTTATACCATTTTCAAGTTTACACTGGCTTAAAGTGTATGATTTTCTTAAAGTCTCAGTTAAGGTGCATTAATTTTTTATTTTTTTAAATTAGATTAAGTCAAAACAAGTTTTAGAAAAAAACATACTTAATTTCAGTAATGATGTTTATATACCTATTTCATTAAAATTAAATGTATTATTTAAAACTAATTAAATATGTTTATTTGTAAGGAAATACATTCATCTTTTTTTAAACACATAAGATCCAGCTTAGATTTTGTTTTGTTCTAATCTCTTTTTAAAAAATATTTTTTTTATGGTGCACTGTAACTGAGACTCCTGCTAAATCGTACATTCTGAGCAATTTTAAACTAAATACCATTCAAGGCTCCTTTTATTTTAGGCAATTATAAATTCTAATTTTATTAAATATAATGATAGAAATTATAAATATAGAGAATTATAAATAATGATAAATAATGTAAAAAATGGTAATGATAGTAATTTGATGAATCATAAATATTATATATGTATTAATGATAATAATTTAATGAATTATAAATATTATAATGAATTATAAGAATAAATACAAAATTATATTAATTACAAAATATTTTTAAGCATTAAGCTATTAACAAAGTTAGTCAGCTAATTGAAATTAGTCAGCTAATTGAAAGCAAGATACACAGTTCTGATGATGAAATTTTATCTGACAATAACAATGGTAATAGTTTTTGTATTTAAATTTATAAGTTTTTAGGATTTAGTATTTTTTATAAAGTTTATAGTTGTTGTTATAGTTATTGAATCCAGACACAAACATGGGCATAAAAAACACTACTGTCTTTATTGTGAAAAACTTCTCTCAAAAATCCCAAGGCATTTAGAACATATTCATAAGCATGAAGAACTTGTTATAGAAGCCCTTCATTATCCAAAAAAAAGTAAAGAGCGAAGAAATATGTGAACTTATATAGAGAGGAAAGGTGATTTTAATGTAAATATAAATAACATTAAAAATTCTAAAAAAATAACATCTGTAAGAAAATGTACAGTCAACAAAGATGATGAGCTATTGCCTTGTGAATATTGTTATGGTTTTTTCAGAGCAAGGAAACTTTGTGAACATGTTTCAAAGTGTTTTAGGCGTGGTAGTGATAACAAGGAAATAAGTTATATAAAAGCTTCTTGAATATTAGTAGGCCAATCCAGTTTGACCGACAATGCTAAAATTGTACATGAGCATATACTTACAACTATGAAACATGATAAACTTCACCTTGTTATTCGCAATGATAAGTTATTATTGACCTATGGAGCAGTTGAAGTTGGTAAAAAAGAAAGAGATCGTTACCATGATGTAGGCTATGCACTTCGAGTTTTAGCTAAGTTATTGTTGCAATACAGAAAACAGTTTAATGCAGAAGATGCATCTGCCAAAGATTTAGTCAATACAAAAAACTATGATAACATTGTTTCTTCTATGAAAGTTTGTGCAGATTATTGTGGACCAAGAAAAATTGGAAATCCTCATCTTGTTTTAAGAATAGGATATTCATTAAAAACTTTAGCTATAATAGTCAAATTAGAGTACCTGAAATTAGGATTACAAGACATGGTTGAAAACATTCGAAATTTTTTAGAGCTGTTGGAATCAGACTACAGTATTTTTTTAAACAATGCACGTAGTGTATATGATTTACGAAAAGCCAATGCACCAGATATGTTGCCAGAAGAAAGTGACATTAAAGTTTTAAGAAATTATTGTGTTAGTGAAATCAGCAAGTATTTAAACAATACAATTCTTACATCTAATGAATATATACATTTGTGTAAACTTACTTATGTAAGAATACTAACATATAATGCTAGGTGAGGTGGAGAACCTGGAAAGTTAACATTAGCAGATTGGGATATGGTAGAAAAAGGCAGGTGGAAACGCCAAACTGACATAGATGCTTTAGATGATCCGATAGAAAAAAAGCTTGCAGAGCGATTTAAACTATGTTACATTGAAGGCGAAAAAAAACGGAGTGGTATGGAATTTTGTTTTTTATTCACTTATTAAAAATTTAATGACATCTTATTTTATATATTTTTCTTATCAGATATTGAGAAATTTTTGTATTCAGAAATAAAATTTTAAATGCTTTTTTCATGCTGTATATGTTATTAAATTAGGTTCTTCTGTAAAAGCATTAGTTCCGATTATTTTTACTGAGGAATTTGTTGGTGCAATCAGACTATTATTCAGCTCAAGGCAAAATGCTAATATTTCTCAAAAAAATAATTATGTGTTTGCCCGTGGTGCAGGCTGTTTTAAACTACGTGGTTGGGACGCGCTACAATCTTTAACAAAAAAGCTTAATTTATCGAAGCCAAAGCTTATTACGCCAACTAGAACTAGAAAGTATTTGGCAACCATTCTGCAGTTGTTAGACATGAATAATGCTGAGCTTTTGTGGCTCACAAATCACATGGGGCATACTAAAGATGTTCATCAAAGTTGGTATCGACGTGAGGATTCTACTATCGAATTAACAAAAGTAGCAAAAGTTCTTCTTGCTATGGATAATGGCGATGCAAGGTGCATTCAAAATAAGAAAATCGATTCACTATTACAAAATAGTTTTGAAGGAATTGGTTTGTTTTTTTTACTTAACTTTTTTTATTTGACTTTATTTTTCTGCATATAAATGTTGGTTACCTGTCATAAAATTTTTTATAGGTGAGTTAAGGTGAGTATTAAGTTTTTAGTATGTGAGTATTAAGTATTTAGTTAAGGTGATCATTTGCAAAACGCCTTAAGTTTGAGTAAACTCATTTAAAGAATGTAATGAAAAACTACCCTTAGCATCAATAGAAACTGATATTTTCTTTTTCCAGTTTTAAGCCATCAAGTTTTTTTTTTTTCAGTCCAATATTTAGATTTTAAAATTTCAGTAGAATGTGGAAATGCAATTAACTTACAATTTTTGTGACTTTTTACCATTTTTTGTGAAATTTTGTGCAGGCACCTCATGTTTTGTCTTAAATATCCCGTTTTGTAAAATAGTCTTTTTGAATGCTAAAAATCCTTGTTATAAATCTGTTTTTAACTGCTTAGTGTCGTTTTATATTACAAATATAAATAAAATGAATAATAAAGCTTTTAAGACAAACAGGTGTGGAAAAATAGGTGTATAACAGCACCCACAAATGTGTTTTAAAACAATTTTGATTTTAAAACAAATGTTTAACGTTGATTCATGTAATGGTTAAAAAACAGGTAATGCCCTTTATTCAAATCTTTAAATTGTTGCAGTTGTAACCATTTATTCGTTATTGGTTATAGGGATATCAAATGTTAATACAGGAGAAAGTGCTAATGTTTGCACTTATTCAGATGAAGATGTTGGAGATGCAAATAGCAATGTTTTGGATGAAAATACCAATGTCATTGAAAATTAATTAATTAATGTCGAACGTAAAAGAATACAAAATAAAAGATTAAACATGCACAAAGAGGTTATCTTTTGAAATTAAATTAACTTTGCTTTTCTCTTTAAAAAGAAAAATTTGTTTCAAAATTATAAACAAATCTTTAGTATTTGAATTTTTGTTGTCCCTTATTATTTAGTGTTCTTATTTAGTCAAAAAAAACTTGGAAAGGTTGGTCGGAAGAAGAAAACGCATCACTTCGTAAAGCGTTTTCGATATATATCGCGAGAAAGATTCCGTGTCCGCTTCTTGATGTTAAAAAAATTATTGAAAGTATACCTTGTCTTCGAAGAAGAGGGCATAAGATTGTTAAAGACAAACTAAACAATATTATTAGAAAGAGATGATTTATGCGTTTTTATTTATATACAAATAATGGTGTTTTGAAGTAGTTATGTTGAAATCAAGTTTATTAACGTTGATTAAATTTTATATAATTATTTCAAGTGTATTATAATTTTAAGTGTGTATAAAAAAGATCAGTGTAATATTTTTATAATGAATACATATCAAATAGCAAAAAATATTTATTTACTTTGTTTTTATGCATATTTTAGATTTCTCTAATAATTCACCGAAAAAAGATGTTTTGCGAGTAAATTCAACTTTTATCTTAAAAAAAGAATAAAAAAGATTCAATAACTTTGTTATAATGATTTTAATTTATCAACCTCTCAAAAAAAAAACTAAAATCATAAAACAATTACAAAACGCTCGATACGAGAAAAAAAGTCATTGGCATTACAATTGTCATAATTTTTTTAATGTGATTTTCTAAACAATAGAAAAAGTCGCGTTTAAAGAACGCGAGAAAATGCGCGTGTATGTAAATCGTGTAAGCTAATAACTTTATAGTAGAGCAATAGTGGACTACTATCTCAGAATATAACACGGTATCTTAAGCATCTAAATGTATTTGGCATTATATTTGCAAAATAAAACAACATTTTTTTAGAGTCCCGATAATGGTGAGTTTTCTAGTTTTTTAGTGTAAGCTGAATGTTCGTGTAAAGCCCCATTATTGAGACTTTAAAAAGAATAGTGCCACTCATCGAAATACATCAAATTAACATAGTTTTTGCTGTTATTTTTATCGGGACTTAAAAATGTCCCGACAAAAAAAAAAGTCCTCGTAAAGGGTCAGTATAAAACCGCAATGTCTCACTAAAGGTACGAATGTACTTACATACATACATACATACATACATACATACATACATACATACATACATACATAAATACATAAATACATACATACATAAATACATACATGCACACACAAATACATACATACATACATACATACATACATACATACATACATACATACATACATACATACATACATACATACATACATACATACATACATACATACATACATACATACATAAATACATACATTCATAAATACATACATGCACACACAAATACATACATACATACATACATACATACATACATACATACATACATACATACATACATACATACATACATACATACATACATACATACATACATACATACATACATACATACATACATACATACATAAATACATACATACATAAATACATACATGCACACACAAATACATACATACATTCATACATACATACATACATACATACATAAATACATACATACATACATACATACATACATACATACATACATACATACATACATACATACATACATACATACATACATACATATATGCATGTATACATACATACATACATACATACATACATACATACATACATACATACATACATACATACATACATACATACATACATACATACATACATACATACATACATACATATGCGTATACATATAAATGTATACGCTCACTCAGGTGTATACACACATACATATATACGCATAAATATACACACTCATTTACAATATATTTTACAAAGATTATTTCACTAAACTATATATAACAATATTCAAGAAAAAAGCAACACGTTTTTGTTGACGATATTGAGATTCAAGTTTACTTTTATTTGTACTACCCCACACAACATTTGCATAGTTTAGGTGGCAATGCATAAATGACTTATATAGTTGAGTTAAGGTGTGCTTATTTAGGATATTTCTTGTTTTATATAATATTCCGATTATTTTGGATATTGCCCAAATTTTCTATGTGCTTTTTCAATGAGAGATTTTCATCAATATAAACGCCTAAAAATCTAAGAAAGCTTACTTTTTTATTAGAGTATTGTCAATAAAAAGAAAAGACATGTCATTTGGTAGTAAGTGTTTTTTGTAAAATGAGGGTGGAAGAAAATCCATTTGGTTTTATCAATATTGAGTTTATTTGACTTAAACCAATCAGAGATTTTAATTAGTTCGTTGTTCATGTTTTCAAATAGATAATTTATGTTATTTTGAGATAAAAACAGATTTGTTTCATCTGCAAACTTAATGGTCATTAAGTTTGAGGCTTTATAGAGATCATTGATTTAAATAAGAAATAGTAAGGGTCCTAGTATTGATCCCTGGGGTACTCCATATGTTATATCAAACAAATTTCTATGCCAATTTGAATCAACGTAGACATATTGCTTGCGATTACTTAGATAGTTTGTAATCCATTTTAGAACATTACCAGTTTTTCCATAATATTGTAACTTTTTTATAAAAATTTCATGACCTATAGTATCAAATGCCTTTGCTAAATCTATGAAAACTCCCAAAGTATATTAGGAATTTTCAAATGATTCAGTTATACTTCTTGAAAATTGGATAACTGCATGTTCCGTAAAAAATTTTTTTAAAACCATATTGATTGTTATACATGAGATTATTATTAAATAGGTGATTATATATTCTATTATAAAATATTCTTTCTAAAACTTTTGAGAAAATGGAAAGAATGGATAAAGGACGGTAATTGCTAATATTAGTTAAATCTCCTCCTTTAAATATTGATATAACCTTTGCTATTTTTAATTGATTAGGAAAAATTCCTTCTCAGATGGAACATGAAAATATCCTAAAAAGAACGTTTTTTAAGACATCATATGATTTAATAACAATGTTTCCATTGATATTATCATGGCTATTTTATTAGCTTCTTAATTTATTATATTTAACTTTAAATTCAAGTTTTACTATATAGATATATTTACTATATTTTCAATTATAGAGTTAAGCATTTTATTTGCTTTTTAAAATCACGTTTTCATATGATTTTACTTATTATTTTTACTTGTTATGTGATATTACCTGTAATAAATTATTTTCAAAAAACTTTTTGAGTTTTATATGGAACAGCGTTTTAAGTTCAAAAAAATCCATGATCGCTCATAACTGCAGATGGTCGGGTTTTGGTTGTATTAGCAGACAACCAAAACTCTTCTTAGTTTACTTTCTCTTCTTAAGCCACTGACGGGATAACCATGAGAACGTCAGAAAAACTGTTGATTTAGATCAATGAAACAATATAAATATTTGTACCAAAAGTATCGATGTGGCTGATAAAGCAAATCATCCACAACTTGGACAATATGCTACAGTAAACATCAAAAATGATGATAACTTGCTAGTAAGTTATCAAACAAAACTTTACATTTTTTGTAATAATGGCATAACAGTTATTAGAGATTTAATACTTTTATATACCTTTTCAGCCAGGCCTTAGTGATAATTTTAACGCTTTCACAAAAGAGCATTAGGAACAACCCATTATCCCAACATGGTTCATTAAGAAACTGTTACGAGAAAAATGATATATGCGTCACTAGATAATTTATTCCTCACGAGTTAACGTTCTGTTTTGTTTTGCCGGCTGACCTTTCAGCATTTGTTTCCTTTACTGTAAATGTTTTTTCTGTCTCTTCAGAATGGAGACAAAAATAACAGGTGGATTTTAAAGTACTATACTAAAAAACTATTATAGATGGAATTTTGTATTTAAGTAAACAATAATTAGCTTTTCTTGGTGGTAGAAAACTTGGTGGCAGGGGATTTAATAATAAAAATAATTCTCTCAAATTCTTGCAAAACATGACAACATGTTAGAGCAGCATATCAATAAAGTGACCGCAGCCCCTTTTATTTTAGTTTGGACATTTAGAACGACTATTTACAGTCTTTGGCATCTAAAGTTAAACCAAAAATATGTTTAAAAGTGAAGAATGCAAAGTATTTTACTGTTATAAATGTTTCCCCGATAGACGTTAGTTAAATAAACCAATTTTCTTTGTCTTTGGGATGTGTTTCAGCCTGTGGAGGTTCAATTAAAGAACTTTTTTTGTTCTTAAAATTACCCATTTTAAATGCTGAAATATTTTTTAACCTTCTTAAGTCTTTTTTACATAAACTTGGTATTAAAGCAAAACTTAGTTGTGATCATTAAATGGCGCCAACACCTTTTCTGGTGAAGTTACTAAGCTGCAGCAAAGAGTCAAAGACATTGCACCACGTGCTTTGTTTACTTATTGTTTTCGGCATAATAAACACGTATTACATACGTGTTTACAATGCCAAAAATTTCAATTTTATGACAATAAATTCTAATGTACATTAAAAATTATTTTTTAGAACTTAAAAAAAATAATTTTTATTGAAAAATTAAACAACCGTAGTATCTCTCCTAAAATTTTTTGTTCTTTTAGTGTTTTGGAGAAAGATGCCAACACTAGTTTTTTAATCACCATCTTTATTTAATTTACTAAAGACAAAAGGTTGCTGCTTCGAGTTATATCAAATCCTAAATTAAAAGTATGAAAAAAACTATGAAACTAGTTTGCAGGAACTGAAAAAATAATCCCATGACCTTGCTTTAAAATGCAACATAATAACAGATTATCAACGAAATGAGTAGGAAAAAAGAAACGGCATGACAACAAGTTTGCACTTTATAAAAAAAAAAAAAAAAAAAAGAAATAACTTTACAATTAATACTTACCTGGTCTCACTAGACTCTGTGATAATTTTCAATAAAAAATAGCTTTGAATAGTTTAGTCTAAATAGATAAGTCGTTATATATATATATATATATATATATATATATATATATATATATATATATATATATATATATATATATATATATATATATATATATATTTACTTATAAGCATTAAAACATCATATACGGTATCATACTATTTATTTCTTTTCAGAAAAGAAATAAATAGTATGATAAGATAAGAAAAGAAATAAATAGTATGATACCGTATATGATGTTTTAATGCTTATAAATATATATATATATATATATATATATATATATATATATATATATATATATATATATATATATATATATATATATATATATATATATATATATATATATATATATATATATGTATAATGTATATAACGTATATATCAGTAACTTCTAAAATGTGCATTTGTTAATTAATTTCTAATTTAAAAACTATGTAGCTGTTATTGTACATTTTCAGATTGATATCTTTCAAGGTTAAAATTGTTTAAATCATTCAAACATTGATTTTCATTTTTTTCTATAATTATAGCGCGT